GACTCTCTCATCATTGATGTTTCTCTCTCTCTCTCCCTCTCCCTTCCTCTCTCTGAATCAATAAAGATATATATTTTTTAAAAATTGTTAGACTTGCATTTTTTCAGCCATTATGAGCTATAGCTGTCTATTAAAACACTGCATAAATAACATAGAAGAATTGCAATAGGGCAAATAGGTCCATGGAGAACACAGTCACCACAGGTTAATACTTTAGAAATCTTGTTCACTGAGAACTTACAAGTTTTCCATACAAGATTTTACTGGTTAAGAGTAGGAAATAGATTTTAGGGTAAGAATCTAAAAGAAAGGACACCTCAATAAATGTACTAGCTAAACCTCAGTTTCATATTGCAGAGATGCTTGCCTGACTCCAAATATCCCCTATGTCTCCCCCAAATCCTTAAAATCAATAAGGAAACAAATAAAATTACACAAGGCTCTTTCCCTTTCAGCCCCTCCAGTGACAAAGAACACCACAGCCTTCAAATGAACTGTAAGTAGAGAAAACAGATTAAAAGAGCGCTTACTCCAGCCTAGTACTGAATGTCTAAGCTACGGGGTATGGGGTTTAGTCCTTAAAATATTCCATTACAAAGAGAAGAACAGAGGCCATACATGAGGGACACACATAATCAACCCAGGAAGATAAAGCTGCAACAATAAATTCCAAAATACTTAAAACAGTTTGGAATTTGGTAGTTCATAACTGAGGAAGGGTTTGCAATGTGAGATAAGAAATGAGAAACTTGAAAAAACATTTTTTTCCTGTAGTTGAAGCATACAAGAAAGAAGGGGTGATGCATCTTAGAGATGTGGGTAAAAGCCAGTAAATAATTTGGAGGATTTAAGAACCCTGAGTAATAAAAGAGAAGAAATGTATGCTTTCGTCTCCCCAGCTCCACATCAGGACCATCCATAAAGGAAACTGCACCAAATAGGACAGATCAGACAGGAGAGGAAACTCTCTGACAAGGGATCTTAGCCACCAGATAAAAATAGGAATAAAAAGTCCCCAACAGACTACATTTATCTAAAACCTTTTTAAGTGTTCAAAAATGTGAATAGAATATTTTCTACCTAAGAAAAGTCGTGCACCTAAAAGAGGAAACAACCACAAAGCCGAAGAAAACTGTAGCACAGTACTGCAAATTAAATTAGATAGCCTCATAGAGTCATAAAAAGAACAGAGATGCAAAATTTTAAAAAAGATTGAAGTCGAACAGGAGCTGATCAAACTCAGGAGAGTAATAGAGTGCTAAATCCTGAATGCCCGTCAATGAATGGATAAACAAACTGTGGCACATCCACACAGTGGAATGTCATTCAGCCATAACAAGGAATGGAATCCTGACACAGGCTAGAATGTGAATGAACCTCAAACACATTACGCTTAAGTGAAAGATATTAAAAGGTGACATACAGGGTGGGGTGGAAGTAGGTTTACAGTAGTTCGTATGGAAAATAATACAAAATTAATAACAATACAAGAATACACTCTGTGTTTCACTCATTCACAATTGTGGACCTGCTTATGCCCCACCCTGTATATATAGTGTGATTCCATTTCCATGAAATATCCTGAATAGCTAAATCCACAGATACAGAAAGCAGATTCCTGGGTGCCAGCAGCTGGAAAGAGGGGAGAATGAAAAGTAACTGCTTATTGGGGATAGTAAGAATATTTTTAACTGGAAAAAAAAGGTGATTTTAACAGGCCACACTCAATATATGACAGAAAACTTGGACAAAAAATAAATTATGTTATAAATAATTAAGTAATATTGTCAGTATTTTGGATATATGTTGACCAGTACACACTGATAATAGAAAATATTCCTTCTTTTCAAGTGCACCTGAAGCATCCACAAACATTAATCAATATATATTGATATTTATATATTTATATATTCATATATAATATTTACATATTCACATAAAACTCAAAAAAGTAAAAACATATGGAGACATTTTACCGAGTGAAGTACATATATATACTTATGTGTACATGTGTGTATGTGCATTTTAAAGCCAGTGTTCTACTTTGTAGAACTCTTGAGATATTCCACTGAATGCCAATTATCTCCACTCTTCATTAAGGTTGTCCTGGTCAAGTTGGCCAATGTAATTAGGCTAGGAAAAAAAATCAATAAATAAAAAGATAAAAATGGAATAAAAAACCTTTTGATTTCCACAAGATATGATAACACACAGAAATAATATGAGAATCAATGATAAACCCAGCTCAAATAATAAGAAATTCAGCAAATTAGCAGGTTGTGAAATTAATATGCTAAAATAGATAGTATTTTCTTACACAAATAAAACCAATTAGAAGACAGTGGATGAAAAACCCTATTTATGTAATGATAAATGAGATAAAATATTTAGTAATAAACACAAAAAATAATTCCACCAATATACAAGGTTCATTCCTGGATAAGAAATGTGCAAATGCTATTTCCTTTGCCTACTAAGCTTTTCCCATTTACTTCCCCCTCTAGTTAACCTTTATTCACCCTTATAAGTTCAGCTCATAGGCAAGACAGGTACATTTAATTCCATTAAAAATTTAAATGACAAATGATGCTAAAACCAAAGGAAATATAACGAACTGTGATAAATATATGCACAGTTATTAGCAAAATTTTGATGTAATGTTGTAGCCAAACAGTGGATATGAAGACAGACCCTCCCAACAGAAAACTAGGAAAAAGCATAAAAAGGCCCCTGTTAGTTTTCCTGCAGCATTTCTGTATTCACAAGTGAACTAGTGACCATTTTCTTCAATATGACCAACTTTCTCTGTATGTAGGAGCTTGAATTCTGTTCAATTTTCCAATTTTAAGAGAAATTCACTTAATATAACTGGATAATAATTTTCAAAGTCTTTTAAAATTTTCAAGTAGCCAAAGGAGAAAAATTATTAAATTCTAAATATTAAATGCTAAAGTTCTAAATAATGGACTAACCTCATAATTGAGGGAATGTAATTATTTTTGAGAGTTATGGGTTATATTTGAATGTGGCTAAAACTTGTATGTTTCATAAATTCTCTTTTTTATCTTTGTTTCACAGATACCGACTTTTGAAAGAGTTTACATTATGACAAAAGCATCATAACGCTCATCTGTACTAAGAAAAAGTGTGCAAAATTCCCAGAGCGAAATAGCATAACTATTCTTGAAATGGAAGAGACCAAAAAGTGGCACCACAAACATTACTCTTAAAGCTCTAGTTCCTAGAACAGTAATTAAAAATAAGATATGATGTTTAATGATACTTTGCAGGAGGTGTTGGTGAAAGTGGGTTACTTTCCTAATGAAAAAAAATCTGTACTTTGTTGTCTCAAAGTCCAAGAGCTGAGTAAACCATATTGAGCATTACTGCAAACAGACCAGGTGTTTTAAAGTAACTAAAGATTAGATTGATGAAAGCCCCGGATCTGGTGATGTTTTTAGATGTAAGGGTTTCCTGTGTGGTTGCATCCAGAAAGCACTTATTTTCAGACTCTGCTCATCTATTAATTTCATGTATAGGACAAACAAAGACATTAGACTATTATTTATTGTCTTCTCTTTATATTCTGCATTGGATTTTATACCAAGGATCATCAAGAATTCTTATACTCAGACTTTTCTCCCAAGAATTATAATCTCATTCCCAGGAAATACGTGTTCTGCAAAGATCCTGGCATCTTCTTCTAAAAAGCAGGTACTTTTCATGATATTAATTTATCTTACTTAATGTATAGTATTTTAAAAATTGTTAAATAAAATTTGATCAAAATAATTTGAATAGAAACATGAAAAGTGATATTTATAAATAAGGAGGTACATATTCAGATAGATGAAAGATCTATAGATTGATTGATAGATAAATAGATGACAAGAAAGCAGACCAGAACAGACCTGAATATATTTTCTTGATTAGGATAACCGTTTGAAATGAGATCATTAGAAGTACTTGGAATGAAATTCTTAATTCTATATAGAAAGATATTTGAAGAAAATAAAGAAATCCAAAATTCTACTGGAAAAAAAGTGCAGAAAACTTACTATTAGATTTGTACATTCAGTAATACATGGAATAGCCATGGACTGTTTAGGTACTGAAAACATATGCAAAGCTTTTTAAAAAAGTTTTAAGATTCCTTTTGAGCTAGAATGTATTTGATGTATAAAATATTCAGATTGGCATCAAAGTCAAGTTGTTGGAATTATAAAGTGCACAAATGAACCTAATAAGTAATGGTAATAATAATAAAATTAGTAAGATGTGAATTCTGCCGACAGAGTATGTCCCAGTGAGGAAATGGGTGTATAAAACAAAACAAAACAAAAGGTGTGATGGGTTTAAAGAGAAATGTTATAAACAAGGAGAGTTCGTGCAAAGAGAGAGGTAAATTCTTACTGAAAGATCTGTTTTCTTGACAGAGGTAGAATTTGTCATAGTTTTTAAAATTACCTGATGATAATGGAGCAATACAGGCAAACAAATCTATACTAAAAAGAGAGAAGAGTTTAACCAGAAGCATGAAGGTCCATAAGAACATATCATAATCGAGGAGAGTGGGCTACTAAGCGTGGAGGTAGATGCCATGGGACAAAGGCCAAAAGAGGTGCAGGTTAAGTAAAGCTGGGAAACTTGCCACAGCCTGGCTTAAAAAATCTTTTATTTATTATGCAATGACAGTGATTAATTCAACATGTGCGATCAATTTGTAATTTGGTAACTTGTAATTAAAAAATATTTAATTTGAGTGTAATAAAGAATGATATGCCATAAAAATTTGTTTCTAAGTCTTTTATAAACTTTAATGATCATCTGTTCTTAAAGCTATTCTGTAACATGAAAGAAGCGCCAAGTTATTTATTATGTTTAACTATAATCCAGATAACATCTTTACACACCATTTATTTTGGCGATGGCATGTCTATGGCCAATGCATTCGTAGTAAATCTTTCATGTCACCTTCCATACATTTCTGTTTCTTAGAAATGGGAGAAGAAAGTGTGACTTACTCTGAGGTGCAAGTTTTTTCATCCCAACGGCAGAGGACAGCTAATGTCTCTGAAAGTAAAGGGACCATGTGTTCTGGGCACCCGGGTTTGTAGCTTTCTCACTTTTATTTTATTGTTTTACTTGACACTTTTAAAACAATGTCTGAAATATGTCTGAAATTGAATGCAACAAATGCACAAAATTTTACACACAAACGAAACTCTAACCTCCCCAATCTTAAAATACTCCGTGACTGTGGATAATGACAAACATTGTCCAACAGGACCTAAACTTTAGATCAAGTAAATACAGTTCAAGTGAGCAAATACATTTTGCACAAGGTTATTTAATTTACTATATGTAATCCTTTGAAGTTAACAATCACAATGCTAAATAATTTAAGAAATAAAATTAATCAGATTCACACTTTATGTGAATTTGTGGTTATTTGATTTATTTAATTTAAAAAATTATATCTGCCAGAGAAAAACAAATACCATGTGATCTCACTTACATGTGGAATCTAAAGAACAAAATAAAGTAATAAACAAAATAGAAACAGACTCATAGATGCAGAGAACAGACTGATGATTGCCAAAGGGGAAGGGGGCTGGGGGGACAAAGGAGAAAGGACTGAGAAATGCAAATTGGTAGTCACAGAATAGTCACAGTGATGCAAAGCACAGCATGGCAGATATGGTCAACAATATTGTAACAGCTGTATATGGTGCCAGCTGGGTACTGGAAATATCAGGGGAACACTTTGTAAAGTATGTAATTGTCTAACCACTATGCTGTACACCTGAAACTAACGCAAAATAATATTGAATGTAAATTGTAATTGAAAAATAAAATAACTACACCTGCCATTATCAAATACATAAAATATATTTTTCACTCAACATTTTGCCGTTATTATGTTTCTATTTTATCAGCACAGTTTTATTTTCATCATTTATTAACCATGTATGACTGTATGCATTTGGGGAAATAGTGCCATTTGAATAGTTTGTTTCCATATTTTAACATATATAAAAAGCACAGTGATGCATACTTAACCTTTTGATACAGTCACCTTTTTGAATATCTAATTCTTTAGATTTTCACTAGTGTAAATATCTAAGTGTCTGAACAATTTTATGCTTGATGTAGATAAATTAATTTAAAAATTAATTGTTCAAACTTTTAATCTGTATATATTGTTTTGTAACCCTTAACTCCCACATGTAAAAACTGGAGCATAAAGAGTAAATGTTTTCTTATTTTCTCCTTCTGAATATATAATAGGCTCATTAAAATAAATATTTACAACATTAAAATCACCAATGGGCAAAAATATGCTAGCAGATTATTCACAGAAGAAATAAAAATAGTTAATATGTACATTAAAGAGTTCACATTCAAGTAACTGAAAAAAATGTAAATTGAAACTAGAGTCCACAATGTTTGCCTATAAAATGTCAACCTTGATAGTAGCAGATTTGATGACAAACTATATTGCAATATATTTTATCATAGAAAAAAGCAGAAATTACCTCAATGTCTGAAAAGAGAGAAGAGTCAAAATTTATGATATATACATGAGAGAGAATATTATACAGTCAGCTTACAAACATTTATTAAAAATGTAATGACCTGTTAAAATAGTAAAAATTAGTTAAAACTTTTAATTTGTTAAAATAGACATAGTCAAGGTAATAAAACAAAGTGATAGTGGTGTGCTTCTGTGTGAAACAATTCGTGATTGGCTTTTAATTTCTTGTTAATCTTTCCTCAAATTTTCAAATTGCATAAAAGTGTTGCATGTAACTTTTATATATTTTATTTTAAAAACAGTATAAATATTTCACTCCTGCATTTGATATTAAAATTAATATCAAGACTATGAACTCCAGAACAGTCTTACATAATGAAGTGGCAGACGAGCGAAATCACACAGCTGCGTAAGGCCTATAGACATGCCTTTGGAGTTTGGTTATGAAACACTCAAGAAACAAAACAGAAACAGACTCCGAGACAAGGAGGCCAGGCTGATGGGCGCCAGAGCGCAGGGTGCTTGGGGGACTGGGTGAAAAAGGTGAAGGGACTGAGAAATGCAGATTGGTAGTTACAAAACAGTCACGGGGATGCAAAGTACATATAGCAAACATAGTCAATAATATTGTAATAAGCATGTATGGTGCCAGGTGGGTACTTGCAATATCATGGAGAACATGTTGTAAAGTAAATGATTGCCTAACTCCTATGCTATACACCTTAAACTAATACAAAATAATATTGAATATAAACTATAATTGAAAAATTTAAAGAATTGTGAATAAGCATATAGAAGCTAATGTTTGAACCAATTTACTGATCTCCTTCTAATAGGCTGTTCTGCTCCGCCTTCTTCATGGAAGTTAATTTCAGTGATTCTGGGGATCATCTGCTTGGGGCTCCTTGTGTCTGTTGGAATCTTAGCCACAAAGTGTAAGTCTCTATGATAGAAAAGGAGTCAGCTTGTTCACTTCTCATAGAAAGGAATCTCTTTACTATTTTTTATTTTTATTTTCTAATGTAATTTCCTCAGTACCAGTTTATTGTTGGGATTGTCTCTGTACTAGAGGTGATTTTAAGAGGCACATCAAATTACTAACCTGGCCTTTCCATTGAACTTTCATGACTTTGCCCTGAGGCTCATTCCTACTGTCCCATCCACCTGAAATAAAAGCTTGTCTTTCTTTTGCTACCTGTTAACCTTTATCTCTTACTTAAACTTACACCATGATTACTTCTGAGAAACCTCCCTGAGGATTTTCCTAAGCAGAATCAATTGCTCTATAATCTGTGCTCTTACCTGTATTACATTAATTTTCCAATCTGACTTGTATTATTATTAGATTTGTCTGTGTATGCCTCTCCAATTATATTGAGCCTTTTAGATGTCATTGCTAATGTATTTTTTCCTATATGTAGTCACATAACAAATGAAGTGTTTTGTGCAATAGCAAATTTATCTTAGGACAAATGTGACAAACCACACTGATATTTGTCATTTGTTCCTTAGTAACAGAGCCATGTTCAGGAAATTTCACTTCCAGTCAGGAAACAGACCAGAAGGGATTGTTTTCAGGTAATTCAGGGATTCCATCACTACCAACAAAAGTTCAAGGTAATTAGGGACCAAGTCATACTTTCTAAGAGTTAGAAAATAACAATATCTGTGTGTTTATTTGTGTGCATATACAATAATTAATTAATATAATTTATATATTGCTTATCATCTATTTTTCACAATGTAAACACATATATTTCTATATATAAATATACTAACATGAGACACTTAGACTTACTCTAATTTTTTCTTTAGGTTGGAAATGTCACCCTTGTGAAGACAACTGGCACCAACATGGGGAAAACTGCTACTCTATTTCTAACAATATGAGTCCTTGGGAAGATTGTGAAGTTCGTTGTTCAGTTTTGCTTTCAAGTTTTCTTAAATTAGAGACTGAAAAAGAGATGGTAAAAATAAGTATATGTTTCTTAAATTGTAGTAAGTTTCTCCAGGAGGCATTTCTTGGGCTCTGGGCTTTCTGTCTTCTGAGATCAGTGTTTCAGTGCAGGGAGGCTGATGTGATACACACCCGATTGTGCTGTTCCTTTTCTGGAAACTCTTCTGGGCCTAGTACAAAGCCCCTAAGCCATATATCTGTGCAAGTTTTATTCACGTCTGGACTCTTGCCTCTCTGCAACTCCCTTAGTCACCAACAACTTAACATTTCTACTTCTTCACCCACTTATTTTAACTACTTCTTTCCTGTGCTTCTTAAAGTGTAGTTCAGTCTCCTCACAGTTTTACCATCCTCTCCCCAACCCTTTGTAACTTTACCCTAATAAATGCCTATTTATTTTTCTGGTTTATCCTAAAACCACTATAATATGAAAACATTTATTTTGATCACCTGGTCCTGTAAAAGTTCCTGATAAATACTGTCATTTTATTATGTAATTCCCTTTACAGGCAATTCCTTAATTAATTGATTTGCATCCTCCTTAAACCCTTGGGTAACAAGTCTATTTATTGCCTTTCAATGCTCAAAACGCAACACAGTGTTCAGAGTGTTATAAGGGCCCCACAATAGTTGTTTGATGAATAAATAAATTATTGGTTATTAGTGAGTTGCCAAAAAAAAAAAAATCCCTAGCATTTTTTATTATAGTGCTATAATTCCAGATAAAATAAAAATGTTTAATAAAGTAAATACAAATTTTAAATTACATATACATAGGCAAGCAACCTAAGGTACCAGGTTGTTGGTTTTTGTCTGTTCTCATTCTACTCAGGATTTTGTAAAAAAATTGTCAATGATGCAGTGTCAAAAGGGAAAGATTTGGATCAGTTCATATTACAACAGCAGTCACCTGGAATCGGCTTCACTAGATGGCTCAGCTTTTACGGTGGACCAGTAAGTATCTTCCTGCTATTTTAAAACACCAGACCCAGAATAGCAATATTAATTATCTAGTGTGCATGTGATTAGATGTTAAATTGCATGATGTGAAGTTTTCTATTAAACCTGATCCTGATTACTCCAACTCAGAACTCTTCAAATATTGCATCCTTAGAAATGAATAGCAATAATGCTTTGTATGGAGGCTAATAATTTATACCCTAGTAGAAATCAGCTGATTTTCTAAGTATAGGCTTAATTTTCATTTCTCTGAATCATAGTAAATTACTACATAATGTACAAAGACACTTTTGAGAGGACCGTGAGGTCAAAACTATTTCATAATAATATTGAAATGTGATTTTCTCTTTCAGTCTTATTTTTTTTCTGAGTGAACAGAAGTATTTCTGAAGCTTTATAACATAATATATCAAAACAAACTAAATATGAAGCAGATATAAAGCTTCAGTTGTTTTTATTATGCTAGACAATTAGGGATTTGCGAAGCTATAAAGCAGTGTCAATGTTGGCACTATTTTTTTGGGGGGATATCATTAGCCTTGTATTAACATGAAATGTATATGTATTTATTATTGTTAAATATAATTAAGTGAATCTTTTTAATATATAAGAATTAATTTTTAATGTGACAGGTTTGAATAGTTATAGCCCAAATAACAAAATTGCTTTGAGTTCCACAATAATTTTTAATAGTTAAAAGGAGTCCTGACACAAATTTTGAAAACTGCTCTTATAATATTACACCAATTTTCTTATTAAAATGCTAACATATAGAAGGTACTCAGTTCATCCTAGCATGTTATTAAAATAAATTTAAAAAGTTCTATTTGTCAAGCACATGTGGATAACAATCAGGACTAAAACATTTTTAGCATCTTTCATTTATTTATTTTTTTTAAATCCTCACCTGAGGATATGTTTTTCCTTGATTCTAGAGAGATAGGAAGGGAGCAGGAGAGAGAGAAATATCAATGTGATAGGTTCCTTCCTCTATAGGAATGGAACTCACAACCTGGGTGTGTATCCTGATCAGGAATTGAACCCGTGACCCTTCAGTATAAGGGATGATGCTCTAAGTAACTGAGTCACACTAGCCAGGGCTCATTTACTTTTGAATGAAACAAATACATTCTTACCAAAACTTAGAAGCTTTTTTCTTCAATAAAGAAGCCCACCAGTTGTAATTTTTTAAAATTAGATTCCAGATTTCTGAAAAAGTTGAGTCAGACAGTTTTTGTCAGCTTTATCATTGTTTTAGTGGACCAGTATTCTGGAGTTTCTTACTCTGCCATTTTCCTTCCTTAACATTTGAATGGAACAAATATTATTTATTATTTATATATAAATAAATCTGCCAAAGAAATGTTTTTTATACTTTAATAAATGCATAATAATTTTTAAAACTAGAATTGATATATGAAATAAATTTTATTTAAAATAGAAATTCCTCTCTGATGATTTAGCAACGTTGAGCATTTTTTTTCACGTCTCTTGGCCATCTGTATATATGTCCCCTTGGAGAAGTGTCTATGCAGGTCCTTTGCCCATTTTTAAATTGGATTGTTTGTCTTCCTCTTGTTGAGTTGTACAAGTTCTTTGTACACTTTGAAAATTAGCCCTTACCAGATTATGCTAAGTGAAATAAGCCAGGCAGAGAAAGACAAATATCACATGACCTCACTTATATGTGGAATCTAAACACAATAATCTGATGAACAAAATAGATTCAGTAACATAGAAGCATGGATCAGACTGACGAATCTCAGAGGGAAGGTGGGAGTGGGTGGGAGAGATTAACCAAAGAATTTATATGCATATATGCACAACCCATGGACACAGACAATATTGTGGTGAAAGCCTCGAGAGGCATCAGTAAGGGTAGAAGGGGTCGATGGGGAATAAAGGGGACATCTGTAATATTTTGAACAATAAAAATACTAATAAAATAAAATAGAATAAAATTTTCTCTCTCTCTAGGCACCAGTTAACAAAACCTGACACTGCCAATAATCTTTGCGAATATATAAATAATGGTCAGTTATGTGCTGGCAATTGCAATGGCCTCGGTCATTGTATATGTAAGAAGACAACATATGGAAATTGAATCACTCATAAGTGGGATATAAAACTGAAACCAACAAATAAAGGAACAAGAAAAACAAACAGAAACTCATAGATGTAGACAACAGTGTGGTGGTTACCGGAAGAAAGGGGGGATGGAAATAGGAAAGGGCAAAGGGGGTCAAATATGTGATGGAAGAAGACTGACTTTGGGTGGTGGGCATACAATGCAATATACAGATGGTATCACAGAACTGAACGCTTGAAACCTATATCATTTTATTACTCAATGTCACACCAATAAATTTAACTTTACAAAAACCAAAAAAGGAAACATTCATTTTTCCAGGGTAATTTTCCACTTTATTTAAGAAAAACATTTAGTTACCTAAAAGGATGTATCTTGAAATGATTGAATCCCATAGAAAACTCTAATGACTGAAGTTTAAGGAAAAAAGAGAAAGGGCCCAAATAATAAAATGAGAAGTAGAAGAGCAGAAGTAACAGCTTACACCACAGAAACGCAAAGGAGTGTAAGAAAATATTATAAACGACTGTATGCCAACAAATTGGACAATGTGGAAGAAACGGTTAATTCCTGTAAACATACACTCTCCCAAAACTGAACAAAACAGAAATAGAAAATATGAACAGACCGACGACAACTAATGAAATGGAGGAAGTAGCCAAAAAACACCTAATGATTGAAGCTTTAAGGCCACCAAATGCTTCAAAACTGTAGATGAAGTTGAGTCACTATATGTAGCTCCATATCGAACGCCAGTTCTTGTCTTGTTTTGGGAGCCTTCTCTGTTTCATGACAATGACACTGGCCCACAGGGGAGAGAGCACGTGGCCTTTAGAGAAGTCAGCTTTTTCACAAGCCTGGAAAGCAATGTCTTGGAAATAGTTGTAAAGCTCAAGAGAATTTTAAAAGTTCTCATGACTCTAAAGTGTCCATGGAAGGCTCTTCCAACTGATGCACACGTGCAGGTACTATTCCATCTGCCAAAGGTTCTGGTGTCCTAATGATTTGCTCAGATTCCTACTCATTTTACGATTTTCAACTCAGATGCCACTTTCTGCTCTGAGAAGTCTTGGAAGGCCTCCCTAAAACTCAAATCCTTCTTTTTTCTTTTTTTCTTTTTTTAGCAGTTTCAGTGCCATATTCATATTATAAGGAATAATTTAATTTCTACCAAAGGTCTTGTGGGTTATATTAAATTAGTAGTGGCATTTTGAAATTTTGAGGATGTTTCTGTTGATTTTTCAACTTTAGAAATATTTCAAAAATAGCAAATTTAATGAACCCTCATATACCCTTCACCAGGCTTTAAGTATATTTAATTTTCAAATGTATTGTGTTTGAAAAGTTCTAAAAGCCTTATTAGTTTAATATTTGTGAATATTTAATAAAACCACAGTTTAAAATTAAGTTCAGCCATAGGTATTATCAACAGTATTAAACTTAAAAAATGAATTTGTTCATCAATCAATAATTTACAAATTGAACAAAACATTGTGATAGAAGATAAAATCTTTAGTTGTTAACCTTTATTCATAACAAGGTTATGATGTGTGGCATGTCAGATGAAAAAGTATTTAATAAATATTGATGGTATTTTCTTCTGGAAGTTGTCTTCATGGAGAAAAGTCAGAGAATGGAGTTTGTGTCTTTGAATCCTTTATAGTCTATAAACAATAAGCCTTTACACAGTCCTCTGCATGCAGATGTATGTGTTTGGAGTTGAACAGTTTTCTGTGTAACCTTTAAAACTTGAACCGTAAACTGCACAGCTTCCTTTTGCCACATCAACCAGTGTGAGTCTAGATTAGGGAGAAAGACAAATTACATTTATAACTTCATAATGCAGAAATATAAAAGTAAAATAATATTTATGTAAATATAGGTGCTTAAATAATACCATTTCAGGAGATTTAAGGATTTTCCTGGCCTTTCTTAATTTACAGATAAGCAAAATTTTGCCAACTCAGATAATAAAAGCAGTAAAAGTTGCATATTATTATAAATTTATGTGCTACTATTTTTATACATTGGAAATTAATCAATTTAGAAAGTCTGGAATCTCTTTATATGTGTACCAAAGTGAGATAAAAGCTTTAAAATGTTTTTTAAACAAATATTTAGGTTAGAAATAAATTGAGAATGCAGTGTCAAGTTTTGTGAAAAACACAATATTTTTCAGATATATGCAATTTTACTTGGTAATAAAAATTTTAAAAATTATAAAATCCTCCAGTGTATACACACATACTTCAATATGAAATTGACACCAAAAAAGGACCATGGTCTGATTATATAAGTATTAGAATGGACAAGAGAATTATTTCTGTCTATACAGAAACAACTAGGCACTATAAGTGAAAAAAATTAAGAGATATTTAGTAACGGCTCTTAGTTGGTCTCAATCTATGCACATTAGAACCTCATTTTTTCTAATCTCACTCTTTCCCTGTGTTTCTTCCACTTCTATGTTTGTTTTTCTGTACCACTCTCATAACATTTCTGCCAGAGTATTAGTTACATGGGATTTTACTTGTTTATTCATAACTATATTTCTAACTGAGGTGTGAAGGTTTTGAAGGAGTAACGTTCTACTCATCTCTGTAGTTATGTCTGCATAGTTTCTGGAAATTGAGTAGCACTCAATCAATATTTATTATATGCATGAAGAGAAATTTAGCATGCTAGGTGTTTTGCTTCTCAAGTGAACTTTTGCACTTGCAGAGTGGAAAAAAATGAGGTAAGATGTTACAAAATCTTATTAATGTTTCCAGTGAACAAGCTCTTTTTTGTCAAAAATGAAATCTCAACCCATACAGAAATGAGGCCATCTGAAATCAATTCTAAGGTATACAGGACATATACAACATTTCAGAAGTAGGACCAGAGGCATGGATAAGTACAACAGACTGACAGATCTCAGAGGGCAGGAGGGTGGGAGGACAGGAAGAGATGAACCAGTGAATATATATGCAGGGAGGCATAACCCACGGACACAGACAATGTGGTGAAAGCCTAGGCGGGGTGGGGGCAGGATGGAGGGAGGCAAAGGGGGAGGGACGGGGGACATCTGTATTAGAGTCAACACTAATAAAAAAAGATAGACCATAGTCTGGCCCATAAAAACTTATCAGTAAATGCAAGTAGATTCAAGTCACAAAGCATGCTTTTTGATCAAGATGGAATTAGGCATTAATAACAGAAAGATCTTTGGGAAATTACCAAGTGTTGAAAACTAACACATCTGGAAATTTTATGGGTCAAAGAACAATGCAAAAAGGAATTTAGAAACTATTTTGGACTGAATGAAAATGGAAATAAATAGCTCATAATATGTGGGATATTGCCAAATCATCTCACATATTAGTAGCATGAAATTAGAAAAAAGAAAGGTTGCATATCAATATATTAGTTTTTACCATAAGAAACTAGAGAAACAAAAGTTAACCTTGAGTGAGAAGATAGTTAATAAAGATCAGAGCAGAAATCAGTGACATAAAAAATTGAAAAATGAATGATAAATAAGCACAGAAAAGATGCTCAATATCATTAATTATTAAGAAAATGCAAATTCAAACCACAATGAGATACCACTACATACATTAGAATGGCTAAAATTTAAGAGACTGATTGTAACAAGTTTGACCAAGATGTTGAGCAACTAGAAATCTCATACCTTGCTAGTGGGATTGTAAAATTGCACAACCCTTTTGTATAACAGTTTGGCAGTCTCTTAAAAAATTAAACATATACCCTTGTAGGATCTATCCATTCCATTCCTAGGTATTTATGTAAGAAAAAGGAGAGGCAATATTCGTACAAAGTCTTGCACACATGTGTTCATAGCAAGTAGCTTTATTTTTAATAGTAAAAAACTGGGAATTACCCAAATATCCATCAATATATGAAAGAATAAACATAACTGAGCAACACCCAATGAATGGAAAAACTCTCAGGAATAAAAAGAAAGGAACTCTTTATATGTTATGAGGTGGCTAATCTCAAAATAATACACTGAGTAAAAAAGCCAGACATAAAAAACCAGTACATACTGCAGGACTCCATTTATGTAATCCTATAAATTACGAACTAATCTATAGAGAGAAAACAGATTAGTTGCCTAGAGACAGAAAGAGGTAGGTAGGAGGGGCATGAAGGAGGGATTATAAAGGTGCAGTGGGAATGTTTTCCAGGTCATAAATATGTTAGTTATCTTGACGTTATTAATGTTTTCCTGGATGTATGTGTTTGTCAAAATCTATTATATTGTACACTTGTGGCATAAATAAAAAGAGAATGTCACTTTATTGAATGTCAATTATTATCTCAACAAATCTGGTAATAACTTCATAAAAGAATGTATGTGATACTTGACCTATCTGCTTGGACTCCTCATCTGTAACATGAGGGTGGTATTAGCCCTATCTTGCCCAGTATTAGGACATAGCAAACAATCGATGTCACTCATTACTATAGGTATTGGCTGCTCTGCTCCACAATGTACTCAATCTAGTCCTTAAGAGTTTGGCTGACTCTATTAGCATATGGGGATTTCCTGGCATTGTGGGGAGAAAAATGTGATAGTTAAGTGATCACAGGAATAACTTAGAGACAAATCCACAACTAGAGACCTGTTGGTACAGACTTACTGATTGGGAGAGAGAATGGAGCCATCTTCCCACTGCCAGGTTCCAACTGTTGAATTTTGTCTCAGTCCTATCCAATGAAAGGACTTCACCAATTTAAAGAAATCCTGTTTGAAATCACAAAGTCAGTACTCAGAATTTTAGTAAATACAAGGCTATATTCATGTAATAATTTTTCCCAAAGTTGGGGAAAATGCATTCTGTACTCTGGCAGAATTCCAACTTTAACAACACATATATAATGCCTGCAATTTTTGTGTTTTCTTATTTTTAATACAGAGGTATTTGGGATTGGTGTATCAGAGCCCAGTGCATCTATTATATTTCAGGTTCACATTCTAGAGGTTGCCACATATGTTAGGACTAAATTTAGGAATATGGATTCAAGTGATACTTAACCTGGTCCTCTTTGCTGTATATCTTCAGGAGACTGGCATTTTGAGATATACAAGAAGCTTGGCTCTGAAACCAGCTTTTGCTCTCACTAAAAAATTGGTAGCAGCTGTTTCTATAACATATCCAGTCTTTAGGACATGGGCCACAGTAACTTTCTAGAAAGGGAGAATATGTTATTAGTTCTGCATATGTCTAAAGATTATAGTAGACTTTTTTCTAGGCAGGTTAAATATCTTTTTTATTCTAACTCTAAAATTACAATATTAAATCATTATGGTAATACCCAATGACATACCTCTACATATTTATAGATAGATGGTAGATAGCTATGCCAAAACTGTGTCTACTTTTTACAAGTACTCCCTTATTGTAAAAAATAAAATAAGATTAAAAAAGCTATAGTGAATTGTGGACAAGAATTAATTATTTTCTTATACATATTCTTTTTATTACATTTATTAGTTAGTAAGATTCTATAGGTTTCAAGTGTAGATGTCTATAATACATGATGTGTCTTATAAACTTTCTTGTTAGCAGCATTGGATACATGCCTAAAACCCAGTATACACAGATACATGCAATTTGTGCTTCAAAATATTAAAAAACTTTTTCTTACCGTTCAAAGAAATTGAAGCTGGTTGGTTGAATGATGCTATTAAAATAATAATAATTATAATGATTAGAAGGGTTTGTGTTGTTGTAACATAGTTCCAGTAAAAATAAAAAACCTCTTCCAGACAAAAAATCAACAAGGAAACAGTGACTCTAAATGACACACTAGATCAGATGGATTTAATTGACATTTACAGAATGTTTCATCCGAAAGTTGCAGAATATACATTCTCCTCAAGTACACACGGGGCATTTTCAAAGACAGACCACATGCTAGGACACAAAACAAGTCTCTACAAGTTCAAGAAGATTGAAATCATATCAAGCATCTTTTCAGACATTTACACCATGGAATACTATGCCGCTGTAAAAAAAAAAAAGGCTCCCTTACCCTTTAAGACAGCATGGTGGGGCCTGGAGAGTATTATGCTAAGTGAAGTAAGCCAGACAGAGAAAGACAAGTGTCACAGGACCTCACTCATATGTGGAATGTAATGAACAAAATAAACCGATGAACAGAGTAGATCCAGAGACATAGAAGCATGGAACAGGCTGAGGGATCTCAGAGGGAAGGCGGGAGTGGGTGGGTGGGAAGAGATTAATTTAAGAACTTATCTGCACATATGCACAATCCATGGACACAGACGACAGTGTGGGGAAGGCCTGGGGGGAGGGGGTGCAGGGTAGAGGGGATCAAGGGGGGAAAAAGGGGGACATTTGTAATACTTTCAACAATAGAGATAAATTAAAACATAAAAAAAGATTATATAAGGTTAAAAAAAACCCCAAAAAACCAACAAAGTAAATAGCTGACAAGTTTTTAGACTAATATCTAAAATATAAAGACACATTCAATACTGCTAGTATATGTTTCTTTAATTCTGAAGATTTATCAAAGTAATGTATTACAATCATTAGGTCAACAATGTTATCTACTTCTCTGTTATCACTTACAATTTGTGACGATGACACTGGATATCATTAGCATTGCAATGAAATGGATTCCCATCGCTACAGCAATGGCCCGGGCAAGGAAAAATGGAGATTCTGTCAAAGAAAACAGAGTGAGAAAAATGAGATAAAGGATAAAGGGTTCTGCTTTGTTCATGTTTAACATAAACGTTAGAATGTTTTCTATGTGGGGGTGATATCAGCGTTTGTGCCTCAATTATTTTTCTCAGGACAGATAAAATAAGTGTTTTGTAAATGATTTTTAAAAAGACTATAAAAATGTAACATTTCCACCTATTTCTCTTTACGAGTTCCCCAGAGTAAACCATGGTTATCGTTTTTAAAACTTTCCATTAAGATACAATAATAAATATGTACAGTTCTCTTAAACCCCTTTTAAAAACATATATTTAAGAACCTATACAAAATATTCTATCTTTTTTTTACTTAAGAAAATATCCTAGTAATTATTCTAAACATGTCTTATAAAGTTATAGTTTTATAAATAGCTGCTTGCATTGTGTTTTATTGGTATATGGATAAAATTAATTTTTTCCAATGCATATTTAAATTGTTTTTTAGTTTTCACTAAGATATAATGATATCAACAACATTTTATGCACACCTGTACATATTTTTTAGTGTCCCTCTGGGAAAGATTCCCCAAAGGCTAATTACTGAGTCAAAGAGCACTTACGTTTTAAATTTTTGTAATGATTGAAAATTTTAGTTTAAAGAGACTATACCGATTTTTGAAGTACCAAATATAAATTTAAAAGCCTTTTTGCTCACGCTTTCCTCTGCATTAAATATTATTGACATTTTTAAATGTATAAAGCTGATGACCAATATTATTTTTTTTAATTTTAACTATTTTTCTTGTTATAAATAACAAGATAACAAAAGATTGAACATTTTCGACTATGGTTGTCATGTTTTTATTTTATTTCTTTGAGACTTCTTGTATTTGTATAAAGTAATTTTTTAATTTTATTTTTTAGGTTTAAAATATTAGTTTATTTTTTGCCATATGTTTTGCAAATATTCATCTTAGATATCATTTTTGTTTTAACTTTATTTATGATACTTTGGGGGGTGCTTAAGTGGATAATAGTTGAGTTGCCCAAACCATTACTCTTTTTTTGATATTAATAAAAATGCTTTCCTTATTTTGGGTTTATAAAATAAATTATCCATCATAAGCTATATAGTTTCTTATTTTTATTGGATTTATTTGGTGTGTGTGTGCAATAAATGAGGCAGAAACTCAAATTTACAAAAAATTTTCTTTTCCAAATGGTTAATAAATTTTTCTATCACTGTTTAGTGAATAAATCACTGTATCTCATTGATATGAAATACTACCTGTAGCATATAATACACTCTTATATGTGTTTACATTTATTGCTATATTATCTAATCTGTCTTTCTACTCAAACTATATGTAAAATATCTCTACTTTTATAATATGCTTGAGTACTTATAGTGCCCATAATATTATATTACATTTCTTTAAAATATTATTTTATTTATCATTACATTTCATTATGCCTTAAGAACTTAAAAATGAGCTTTACAAGAACCTGCCACATTTAAAATATACTACATTAGCCCGGCTGGGTGGCTCAGTTGGTTGAGCGTTGTTCTGCACACCAAAAAGCTTGTGGGTTCCATTCCCAATCGAAGTGAGTGCAGGAGGCAAGCAATTGATGTTTCTCTAGCACATCGATGTTTCTCTCTCTCTTTCCCCCTTCCTTTCTCTCTAAAATCAATTTTAAATATGTATATATATTTCAACAGAATCACATTAAATATATAAATATAGAGATATAACTTATATCTTTAAAATGTCTTATCATTGAATAGTTTCTTTTTCTATTATATATGTCTTATTTTATATTCATTAGTACAACTTTAAAGTAATAAAATTTTTTCCAACATCTTTAATTAGTTTATTTCTGAATTTTGGTATTATAAATATGGAATTTTCCTTTTATTACATTTTCCTTGCTTTTATGGTTTTGTAGATAGTTGATTATTACATACTGTTTTTAACCAAGTCCACGCATCAGATTTCCTTATTGTTTTGGGGAGTGAAGCTATTAAGGGTTTAAAAATATTTTAAATCACTTTGTGTATGATGTAAATTGGTGGTCCAGTTTCATTTTTTTGCATGTACCTGTCCAATTTTCCCATCACCATTTATTGAAGAGACTGTCTTTACTTCATTGTATGTTCTTGCCTCCTTTGTCAAATATTAATTGACCATAATAGCATGGGTCAATTTCTGGGTTTTCTGCTCTGCTCCACTGATCTATATGTCTGTTCTTGTGCCAGTACCAAGTGGCTTTGTAGTATAACTTGATATCTGGTATTGTGATCCCTCCAACTTTGTTCTTCTTTCTCAAGATTGCCATGGCTATTCGTGGTCTTTTTTGTTCCATATATATTTTCGAAGTGTTTGTTCTAGATCTGTGAAATACGCTATTAGTATTTTAATAGGGATTGCATTGAATTTATAGATTGCTTTGGATAGTATGGACATTTTAATGATGTTAATTTTTCCAATCCATGAACATGGTATATTTCCTCATTTGTTTATATCTTCTCCTATTTCTTTTTTCAGTGTCCTGTGGTTTTCCAAGTACAGGTCTTTTACATCTTTGGTTAAGTTTATTCCAAAGTATCTTATTTTTTTAGTTGCATTGGTAAATGTGATTTTTTTTTTTTAGTTTCTCTTTCTGAGAGTTCCTTATTGGTGTATAAAAATTCCACTGACTTTTGGGTGTTAATTTTGTATTCTGCTACCTTGCTGAATTCATTTATTAAATCTAGTGGTTTTTTGATGGAGTCTTTAGGATTTTCTATGTACAATATCATGTCATCTGCAAATAATGACAGTTTTGTTTCCTCCTTTCCAATTTGGATGCCTTTTATGTTTTCTTCTTGTCTGATAATTGTGGTTAGGCCTTCCACTACTATGTTGAATAAGAGTGGAGAAAGTGGACACCCCTCTCTTATTCCTGTTCTTAGGGAAAATGCTTTTAGTTTTTGCTCATTAAGTATGATGTTGGCTATAGGTTTGTCATATACGGCCCAAATTATGTTGAAGTATGATCCCTCTATTCCCACTTTGCTGAGAGTTTTTATAAAAAATGGGTGTTGGATTTTGTCAAATGCTTTTTCTGCATCTATTGATATGATCATGTGATTTTTGTCTTTCAATTTGTTTATGAGATGTATCACGTTTATTGCTTTGTGAATATTGTACCAGCCTTGCATTCCTGGAATAAATCCCACTTGTTCATGGTGTATGATCTTTTTAATATATTGCTGGATCCAATTTGCTAATATTTTGTTGAGGATTTCAGCGTCTATGTTCATCAGGGATATTGCTTGTAATTGTCTTTCTTTGTAGTGTCATTATCTGGTTTTGGAATTAAGTTAATGCTGACCTCATAAAAAGACCTTGGAAGTATTCCTTCCTTTTAGATTTTTTGGAATAGTTTGAGGAGGGTAGGTGTTATTTCTTCTTTGAATGTTTGGTAAAACTCCCCTGTGAAGCCATCCAGGCCAGGGCTTTTGTGTACTGGGAGCCCTTTGATTATTGCTTCAACTTCATCAGCAGTTATCTGCCTATTCAGGTTTTCTGACTCTTCCTGATTGAGTTTAGGAAAGTTGAATTTTTCTAGGAATTTGTCCATTTCATCCAGGTTATCCAGCTTGGTGGCATATAGTTGTTCATAGTATTTTCTTATAATCCTTTGTATTTCTGTTGGGTCAGTTGTTACTTCAGCTCTTTCATTTCTGGTTTTGTTTATTTGGGTCCTCTCTCTTTGTTTCTTGATCAGTCATCAATCTTGTGTATCTCTTCAAAGAACTATCTCTTGGTTTCATTGATCTTTTGTATTGATTTTTTAGTCTCTATGTCATTTAGTTCTGCTCTGATCTTTATTATTTCCTTCCTTCTACTTACTCTGGGCTTTTCTTGTTGTTCTCTTTCTAAGTTTTTAAGTTGTAGGGTTAGAGAGCCTCTAAGAAGTTTTTCTTGTTTTTTTTCTTGTTGTTTGTTTTTTGTGGTAGGCTTGTAGTGCTATGAAATTCCTGTCGGGACTGCTTTCATTGTGTACCACAGATTTGGAGTTGTATGTTCATTTTCATTTGTGTCCAGGAAGTTTTTGATTTCTTTCTTGGTCTCTTTTGGTAACCTATTCTTTGTTTAATAACATGCTATTTAGCCTCCATGTGTTTGAATGTTTTTTAGTGTTTTACTGCAGTTTATTTCAAATTTCATGCCATTGTGGCATGAGAAGATGTTTGATATGATTTCAATCTTCTTGAACTTATAGAGACTTGTTTTGTGTCCTAACATGTGGTCTATCTTTGAGAATGACCATGTGCACTTGAGAGGAATGTATACTCTGCCACTTTGGGGTGAAGTGTTCTGTAAATATCATTTAAATCCATCTGACCTAGTGTCCCATTTAGCTGACGTAGTGTGCCATTTAGTCAATGTTTCTGTGTTGACTTTTTATCTGGAAGATCTATCCAGTGAAGTCAGTGGGGTGTTCAAGTCCACAACCATGACTGTATTGCTGATGATCTCTCCCTTAACATCCTTAAGGTTATTATTGATAGGCCCTTATTTATTGCTATATTAATCCTTTTACCTATGTTTCTCTCTCTATTTCTTATTATTACAGCAGTCCCTTTAACATTTCTTGCAATGCTTCTATTTCTACTACTAATTACAGCAGTTCCTTTAATGTTTCCTGAGTTGCTGCTTTGGTGGTGGTAAACTCCTTTAGCCTTTTTTTTGTTTGGGAACTTCTTTATTTCACCACCTATTTTGAATGCTAGTCTTGTTGGATAGAGTAGTCTTGGTTTCAGATCCTTGTTCCGCATTATCTTGAATACTTCATGCCATTCCCTTCTGGCCTGTAGAGTTTCTGATGAGAAGTCAGCTGTCAGCCTTATGGGAGCTCCTTTGTAGGTAACAGGTTGCTTTTCTCTAGCTGCCTTTAGTATTCTTACTTTGTCATGAATTTTTGGCATTTTAATTATGCTGTGTCTGGGTGTGGGTCTCTGTGGATTCTTCTTGCTTGGGACTCTCTGTGCCTCCTGAACTTGTGTGACTTTTTCCTTGATCAGGTTAGGGAAGTTTTCTGCCATTATTTCTTCAAACAGGTTTTCTAATCCTTGCTTACTTTCAACCTCTTCTCACACCCTTATGATGCAAATATTGTTATGTTTCATGTTGTCCCACAGCTCCCTTAGACTGTCCTTCTGCTTTTTAATTGTTTTCTTTTTGAATATCTGATTGATTTTTTTTTTTTTTTTACCCTGTCTTCTAATTCTCTGATTCGATCCTTAGCTTCTTCTAATCTGCTGTTTATTCCTTTTAGTGTATTCTTTATTTCTGCCATGACAGTCTTCATTTCCTTCATAGTTTCCATTTCTTTTTTCATGCTGTTGAGCATCCTTACAATCAGTATTCTGAACTACATATCTGATGGATTGCTTATCTCTGTTTCATTTAGCTCTTTTTCTGCAGTCATCTTTTGTTCTTTCATTTTGGCCTTGTTTTTTTTTTGTCTCCCCATTTTGGCTGCCTGTTTGGGTTTGTTTCTATGTATTGGGTAGGCCTGATAGGAGTCTCGGTCTTTTTGGATGGTTTCTGGTTCGGGCCAATGTTAGTAGCTATTTGTGACTGGCTTTGTGTACTCTGTTTGGAGCTATCAACAACTCACAGCTTGAGGTTCCCTTTGCTGGGGCTGGGTGTGGTTGGACAGGGCCAACATGCACACCAAAGACTGTTTTACCAAGGCCCGAGTCTAGAGGCAGATCAGGTAAAGACTCAAAGCACTCTGAGGTCTGCCTCTGCCTGCAGGTGGATTAATCTGATTCTCTTAATGAGCCTCAGGCTGGAGAAACTCCTCTGGGTAGGGAGAGAGGTTTTCCAGGAGGATGGGAAAATTGTTTTCTCTCAGGCAAATGCTGCTTGGAAGGTAAATGTCTGCCTCTGTAGTTTGGTGGAATGACTCAGCACAGGAATCCAGAGGGGTGCCCTCTGAGCTCTATCTCCAGAGTCCACAACCCTAGATTCTTCTCAAACAGCTCCTATCCACTCTGTCCTTTGTCTGCTGGAGCCCAGGGTAGTGGCTGCACATGAAACTTTGTGTGTTGGCTCTTTAAGTGGGTGCCTACATTTCCAGCTATCTCTCCCAGGCAGACAGAAACCATGCTGCTTTTCACAGCCAGTTGTTATGTGGGCACTTTTCTCAGTTCTGGTGCTCTTGGCTGGGAAGCCCAGACTGGGGTTTAGGCCCCAGAGTCCTCAGTGGGACCCCCCCCTTCCCACAGCTGAGCTATCCCTCTGGACCTTCAGCTGCTACCTGTGGGAGCCCAGCTAGCCCTCTCACACCTCCACACTTCCTGCCAGTCTCAGTGTGTTCTCTGCTTTAGGTCCTTGGTTATGAGGGTGCTTGCTAGTTCGCCTTCAGTTGCAGTTATTTAGGATGGTTTTCCTATATTTTAGTTATAATTCCAGTTTTCCCCCGGGAGAGTGTCAGTGTAGCTTCCACTCAGTCCACCACAATCTTTCCATCTGAAACATTTTCATTTCCATATTTAACTCTTGAAATCTGTGCCACTTGATAATTATCTTTTTTTAACATTTAATCAAAATTTATAAGTGAGAGTAGTCTGTTTTTTTCCTTTTTGTTTAAGCTATTCCAGGCCTCATTTTTAATCATATTCTGCATTGATAAAAGACAGAGAGCATATCCTCACTGCACGGACACCTTTCTGTGAGCAGCAGTCAAGTCATTGCTGCCAACTGTTTAAAAACATAACACTGAAGGATATTTTGTATTTCTTTTCTCTTCTATTTTCCATTTCTTACAGCTAGTTTTCAGTAACCCCTTAGAAACTGCAGTCTCAATTGTCATTATTATGATAATCTCATCATTTTTAGGGCATGAAAAGATTCTAAACTCAACAGTTTTAGAGTTAATCTCATTTCTGCTTTTCTTATAAAGGAAAAAGAAACTGAATGTTTATTGCTGATAATCATAGTTTCCAATTTTCACCTCATGATGACAAATGGAACATATTACTTACGTTTTTCTCCATGTATGTTTGTGGTTAATGTGGGTCTTTTTTTTTGCCATGGTGTAGAAGTAGCATCATTTATGAGTTTAGATTTGTAATTATGGGATTCAGACATATCTGGAGAAAAACAATTCAGGTCAGTATGAGTCACGGACTTTTTGCCATTTGGGTCATAAATTTTTAAACTTTAATTTGCCATTTCTTTTAAAGCATAAGATCAAGTTAGTTTTGTTTTATATTATTTCATTATTATGATTTTTACACTTTGTAGTATAAATAAAATTATATTTATTCTATAGCAACATATCTTTAGCAAGATCCTATATGCTAATTCTTAAAGTATAATAAAATCTATCATTAAAATAAAGACACTGTTCAGTGAAAAAGACAGGGCCTTACTTAGGGAGTTAGACATGTTTAACTTACAAAGCCACACTTACTAAGTTAATAACTTCACAAATTGAATAAAAATGTAAAAAGAAAGGAAAGAAATAATAAAGGATATCAATACAACCTGGCTATTTTTAAAAGTGAAATAAAAGAATATGCACTTAATATCAATAAAGTCAATCACATATTAAACACTTAGTAAAAGCTAGTGTGTCTAATTTTCTTCATAGTGAAGGATATACAAAGAATAAAGTAGTACAAGGTTTTATTTAGGATAATGACAGATAAAAAATCTTGTCTCTGAACAAAAAAGTAACTCTCCTTAAAATACTAAAAATTACTAAATATGTAAAAGCCTTTTACAAATGAAATGCTAAAGTTAATTACCTTTCACACCTAAAATTAAACTAAAATGTTGTTCAGACAATATGTAATTTAATTATTAAACATGTGAAGGGAGGTATTATTTTATGAATGAAGAAATGAATCTTAGAGGTGGCCAATGATATATTACTTACTTAATATAATGCTATAAACTGTGAATAATTTATAATACTTTTAGCTTTAGAAATACTTTCAAATATACGTCATTTTATTTGAATATCATAGAAATCCATTAAGATAAATATAACATATTTTATATCTCTACTTGACACGAAAGAGAACTTAAGTATATAGAGGCTGGGAATTGCCCCAGATCTCAAAACTAGAGACTGGTAAAAGTTTAATTAAAATTCAATTCTTTTAACTCCAAATTCTGACGCTTTCACTATTTCAAGTTGCCTCAAATTGTGAGTTTACTTTAGGTAGTTAATGAAGTAAAGGGGAAAACACTTTCAAATTTTTTGAGACTTGATTTAAAATATAACATTAACATAATGTGAAATGAACATAAAATGAACATAAGTCAATTAGAATAAATTTATTTTCTAAGCCTTACATACTTGTATCAGATTCTAGGTATACTGAAATTATATACAGGCCAAACTACACATCTCTGTGGAAAGCACATACCCATGTTGCGAAGAGCCCACTGATCTTGGACTAACTCCATCTTACAGTTATGACTGCTTATCTACCACAAAGATGAATCCAAAGTCTTCATTTATAAATGTTCCTGAATAAAATACAATCACACACATTTATTTATTTATTTATTTATTTATTTATTTATTTATTTATTTATTTATTATTTTCTGTGTGGTGAGATGATCCATTTTTATCAGAAAAGTGAGAATACAGAAAAATTTTTCCCATGAATATATAAAAAAAGGAAAGAATGAAAGCAAGAATTCATATAAAGCCATGTAAAATTCTTTTTTAAAACATATTTTGATTATAAAAGAATAAACAATTATTTCAAAAGTGTAAAAATACATAATGAGTTCTTTTAAATTTACCTTCCTTAAGATCTTTAATCAAAAATGTTGCCATTACTGATATTGAATGACAATACATACAGTTTTGTATTATATTTTATTTTAGTTATATTTTATTTTATTTGGTGATAAGTACTTTCTTTGCAAGGTAAATTTGGGTAGATACATAGATGAATTTTTGTTGAATGTTTTTTCTTAGTGCATTTTAGTTCCACTTCTGTTCATATCATCCTCCTCCTCATTTACAAGTTATTATCAGCATTTTCATTAACAAAAATAATCTCACATTTGTTTATACAGTAACATTTTACCATGTCTAGCAGAGCTCTCAAAAAATAGCTATTTAATAAATATGCATAGTCCTTAGATTTTAAAAACAAAACCTGTTTCATATTTAAACATGACAGTTGAAAGCAACGGAGGTAATTTATTTATAAATAAGTTGTGTATCACATCAGATAAGTGCCTTGCATAAGAGCACAAAACTCATAAAGGTGAGAATTCAAATTGAAATTTAATTTTTTATTCCCAAATGTAAAGAGTCATTCTTCTGGTTTTGTTTAGAGAAAAGGTTCACCTTATAGCTACATCATAACTTCTGATTCTTTAAAAAGTTTATCCTAATTATCTATCAATGAAAAAAGTGAGAAAGAGCACACATCAAAAGTAATAAGCATTCCTTGCCTTCTATTCAAACACTTAAGAAACAGAATTATCTCACTTGTGTAAATATTTTTAGAAACTTTCTTGAGGTTCAAACCTCAAGAGTTCCTCATTTCTTAAATAACAGTGATTAGAAACACACACACAGACACACACCTGATCAGAGAAGGAATGTCCTGCTTCTTGTGAAAAATTTAGACGTGTCCTGAGTTTCCAATTTAGGATTGAAACAAGAGATCCTGGAGAAAAATATGACTGTTATTCTAATCTACTTCTTCTGTTGAAAAGACAGCACAAACCACAGTACTTCCTCCCACCTCTTTACTACGCAGTAGATTTTGCTAATTGGTGAAAGAACTGTTAGGTTCTAACATGATTTTATGACTTTAAAATGTTGAATTCAGTGATAAAAAGTGTCCCATTTGAGAAACAAATGGTAAGAGTGCATAAGCTCTTTCTGAATCAAAAGTAAAAAATTATTATAAAAAATGGCTGTAAGTACTGTGTAAAAATTAAAAAAATAAAAACAGAAAGGAAAATTAAATAAGCTTTTACATTTTTTTTAAATTTTAAATTTTTATTTTTTTAAATTGTTCAAAATATTACAGATGTCTCTTTTTCTCCCCATTGACCCATTCCACCCCATCCCACAACCCTCCCCAGTTTCTCATCACACCATTGTCTGTGTCATTGGGTTATGCATATATGTTCTTTGGTTAATCTCTCCCTCTCCAGCCCTCTGAGATTCATCAGTATGATCCATGCTTCCATGTCATTGAGTCATTTCTTTTTTTTTTTTTAAATATATATATATTTAAATATATCTTTATTGATTTTAGAGAGAGAAAGGGAGAGGGAGAGAGAGAAATAGAAACAACGACGAGAGCATCATTAATTGGCTGCCTTCTGCATGCCCTCAACTGGGGATGGAGCCCATAACCCCAGACATGTGCCCTGACCAGGAATTGAACCATGATCTCCTAGATCCTAGGCCAATACTCAACTGCTGAGCCACGTCTGGCTGGGCACAGAGTCATTTTTGCCCATCAGTTTATTAAGTTCCTCAGATTCCATATATAAGTAAGATCATGTGATATTTGTCTTTCTCTGCCTAGCTCATTTTGCTTAGCAAAATATTCTCCAGGTTTATCCATACTGTCCCAAAGGGTATGAGATCCTTCTTCTTTATAGTTGCATAGTATTCCATGGTGTAAATGTCCCATAGCTTTTTATCCACTCATCTACTGATGGTAAATAAACTTTTTAATCATCCTATGCACATGCTACTATAAGTTTGAGTGGAATCAAATATGCCGTATCAGGCAAGTTGAAATTATAGAAAGATTTTTTCAAGTATATAAACATACATACATATGCACACAAGCTTAAAAGTGGAACTCAGGACGTCTAAATTTTTCACAAGAAGTAGGGTGTTCCTTCTCTGATCAGGTGTGTGTGTGTGTGTGTGTGTGTATGTGTGTTTCTAACAATTATTATTCAGTAAATGAAGATATCTTGAAGTTTGAACCTCAAAAAAGTTTCTAAAAATATTTACACAAGAAGGTAATTGTTTGTTAAGTGTTTGATTAGAATTACTGAAGGCAAGGAATGTTTATTACTTCCAAAGTGTACTATTTCTCACTTTATTCAGTGATAGATAATTAGGTTGAACTTATTAAAGAATCAGACATTATTTATTATTTTTTATTGAGGTATAATTGACATATAGCATCATATTAGTTTTAGGTATATAACATGATTCTCTCTCTATATATATATATAGAGAGAAATGATCACCACAGTAAATCTAGTTAACATTCAGTTTTAAGGATTCTGAAAGAGACATATTCTGAGTCTGGGATATTGAATTAAAAAAAGTTAAAAGGGAGGGGTGGAGATAAAAATAAACCTTACTTGTATAAAGAAATACTACATACAAAGAAATTCTAATTTCATTCTCAGTGGTGAGCATATACTCACTCTGCATCTGTCATAATGGAATATCTATTGAGGATTTGCTCAGCATTAGTGATGCTTCGGTGATACAAGAAATTGCAAAATGACATGACATAGCTTTCAGAAAACATACTTTCTAATAAATGCAATAAAATCAACAAAAATGAATTTACATAGAAACAATAATTTGACTGCAAAAATATATGTATGGGCCTCCTATGTGCATATTTATATGACCTCTTATAACTACTGGAGAAAGAAAATTATGTTTTGCAAACAGCCTCAATTCAAGTTATTTGAGAACAACCATCACCACCTCAACAAAATATTTAGAAAATACTTTTCTTAAGTGAGAATACCACCAAGGCGTAATCAATTGGCCTTTGTGGCAAGTCAGATACAGGCTAACTTACATGGCTGAGCATGTGTTAAGTCCTTCCTGTTTATCCACCATAAGGGGAGGAGGTGACAAAACCACAGTGCAACTTTATAATGAGAGAGAGTCCTCCAGGCAGGATGGTCACTTCAAGTTGTGACACTAAAACTATGTGGTCAGAAGTGTTTATTGGATAGTTGACCAAAAATGAAAGCATAAGATGTATGGTATGAAAAAATTAAACTGTTGTAGCCTCAACTTTTCTGTAAATGTGTTTGAATTAATAAGGACATATCAAAAAGACAAATTCTAAAATTCATATGAGCAATTAAGTAAGTTAAATGGACTGGA